GAGAGAGAGAGAGAGAGAGAGAGAGAGAGAGACTTGTACTCATTTTAATTCCGTATTTCACGCGTGCTTTGATCACTGTAATGATACTATGTTTTTGGAGACGGTCCTAGTCTCGGTATTTGAGACTCTGGTGGTCTGCGAAGAGCAGTTCGTTCAGTTATCGTTTACTTCTTGAGGTATCTTGGCTATGTAGACCATGACGAGTAGGATAAGATAAGATTAGATAAGATATAATAAAATAAGAGAACATAATTTAAGATAAAATAAGATGATACTTTATTGTCCCATTGGAATTTTTTTTGAGGCTGTAGAGGAATAGTATAATCACATATAGATATACACATGATTTAAATTACATTTTATTATTTTCATAAAAAATTAATTTGAACAGAAACGTAAAGATGACAATAATACACATATCACATCAGATGCATCGTTCAATATCATACAGAAATTTACCACAGACCTTTAGAGTTATATACAAACAAAATGAACAGCAGTAAACATTAATGGTGGAAGAACCTAGCCTTGTGTGATGCCAGGTGTCACTTTGAACAAGTCAGTGTTATCACCCCTGGTTCTTACACAACTAGATCTATTTTTGTGCAGTGCTTCGATGATACTAAGGTGAAAATGGTGAAATGGTATGGGTTTCACTTTAACGGCCCCTATCAGCACTGTTAGCGGGACATCTGAGTTTAGTGTCCGTCTCCGAAAGGACCGAGGCAAGTGGGAAATTTGTGTAAAGTGCCTTTTCCAAGGACACAACATCGGACCGAGCTGAGGCTCGAACTCGAACCCTCGAACCCGCAATCCCACGATTACGAGTCTGGTAGCCTAACCACTAGGCTACCGACGCCAAGATGTTATCAAGGAGTCGGTCCTTCTTTCTATATTATTCTTCCAAAGTAGTCCACAGCCTGCCCCCTATATTGACTCGGGAAAAATGCCTTCCACCGATTCACGGACACAATGTCCAGCCACATCTTAGCTATATTCTGTAGCTCTTCTACATACTTGTACTTGTTATTCTTCATACAAATAGACTTGTGGCCCAGTGCGCTGGAGCTTAGATTTTAGTTGTTAAAATTTAGATCTTTGCTTCTATATATTTGTGTGTTTTTTTGTTTAAAAACTAGTTTGTTGTTATTGACTTTGATTTTGTTTTTACTTGAATTCTTTTTGCTCTTCGCTTCAATTCCTTTGAGGGGGTTGGGGTTGTTGTTTTATCGGTGTTTGTTGTATGATGCTCATTTTGTTTTTGGGTTTTGGGTGGACGAAGTCCATAACTACAGCTATACAGCATGTCGGTTTATGTCCAAGGTGAGATCAGACCATAGACTTATTTATATATATGTAAACTACATACATACACAAACAAACACACGTTTTTTAAATGTCATTACAACATACCGATAACAAGACAACTTACTCGTACTTACCTCGCGATAGTAGTATAAAAACAAATTATATTCTCTCTCTCTCTCTCTCTCTCTCTCTTTCTCTCTCA